CCGGGTCGGCCGCGTGCAAGGCAAGCGCCCTCCCCGCTGTGCTGTTGCTCCAGCCCCTGAAGTTGCATTCTTTAAAGAAAATTCAAACATGGAATCTCCTGGAGTCTCACGGAGGTGAAGCGAGTGGGATGGCTCTGCTGGGACCCGGGGCCAGTTGCTGCCGTGCCGGAACCTGGTTCTCACAGCGACCAGTGACGTGATGCCAGGGGAAGCCATGCCACTCCTGCGGTCCTGAGCCTCCTGCGGCCCCGGTGTCTGGAACTGCCCAGTTTGCTTTAACAAAGCCTTTGAGGTGCTTTTGAGTCCTTTTGAGCCAGAGACCTCACGAGTCAGTCGGGGGTTGCTCTTTGCTGACTGCCCTTTTGTGCCTTTCACTGAGCTGCCGTGTTCAAGAAAGCGGTCGTCATCTTGCAACGTGGCCCCACTTCGTGTATTTGCCCTCCTGGGCAGAGACCCCCCCCCCCCCAGGGTCTGTGTTCATCCCCTCCTGGTGTGTTATTACGGAATTATTAGATGACAGTCATTTCAGACAGAATGCTGCTGAGCCTTGAGTGGAGCGCTCGGGGGAGCTTCGACGCAGCCAGGGCCAACGCGTGAGTCCACCCGACTGTTGGGTCAGCTTCTCCCGCACCTTGCGTTGTGCACACGGCTCTTCATTGATAGTGAGCCAGTACGCATCACTCAGTTTTGCCGTGTTGGTCTAGTTTTACAATAACAGTTTTGGAACAGTTAGCACCCTTGTTTCTGTTTTGAGAGATAATAGCTGTATGATTATTTAATATTTTGACAAAATTTAGCAGGCTGCTTTGTTAAGGCTCATTTCTGGCACACCGACTCTCACTCATTGCTGTGATTTTTGCAGTGGTGGACTTTTACAATTTATTCGCTTGACAAGGCTGGGTTCAGACTGTCACTTAGGGCTGATAAGACAGTTCCTGATGGTTTAATTAAAATACTCAATTTCAGTTGTGAAACACTTCATGAACAATGATGATGCTTGGTCAGGTGTTCATATGTGACCGTGTTTATTTCAGGTTCCTTTTCAAAACACGCAAGCGAGGTTTCCAGCTCCAGTTCACACTCGGAACACTTGGGTACGAGTGCCTGCCAGCTCGCTCTCCGATGTAGGCAGTGTCGCTGGGTGATGCCAGGCGTCACTTGCCACAGCCCCTCTGATACCTTTTATCCGTGTGGTTAGGGTACTGTTCTGCCCTAATTTCTTTGTTTTCACGCAATTACATTTCTGAGAGTGCTTAACCTATGCTAACAAATGCAGCCCTGGGTGGTTCATTTGAACTGCGTTAGGATATTCCACTTTATGATTAAACTCATTATTTATCTACTCCCCAGCTGGTACTGATGGATATTTAAGATTTATTTAATTTTGTTGGTAAGACATTATTTAACACGCTCATATTTGCATCAGAATTTCTTAGGGTGTTTTGTGGGAGAAAAGGTAAGGACAAGATGTCTGCAGCTTTGCAGTGTTGCTAATTATATTATATTTCAAAGTATCCTGAATCAGAGACATTAGAAGGGGATATGAAAATATAGTGATTCCTCTCGCTGAATTTTAAAGATTATTAATAAGCCACTAAAATACCTAAATATCCTGACCTTCATAGAGAGGTGGGATCAGTGAGACTTTGTGTTATCTTGCTAATAAGTGAAGTGATAATCTACATAACAGACTTTGAATTGTCTGAGTGACGTTTCAAAGTCCCGCCTGAAGAGGAGCGAGTACCTGGCTGTTCCTCTCATCTGGGGTGTTCCGGAGAGGCACGGCCAGGATGGAACTCAAAATGCAACTTAGATATTCTGACACAAATTGTCTGCCCTCCAGGCATCCACAAACAGACAGTTGCTCTAACATTTCCCTGAGGCAGACGCGTCTCTGAAGGCAGTGCTGTTAATCACAGAATCTTAATTCCGCTCCCTGGATGGCTTTAATTCCCACACAGCGCCGTGGCAACCCCGTGGACTCTCTAGCTCTGCTTCTCTGTCGTGGCAATAGGTATTCTGCGATGTTCTCTCCCCGGAGCCCGGGGTCTGGAGACGGGGGTTTCAGTCTTGGCGAGTCCCACGAAGCCCGTCATAACGTGTGAATTCCGAGCGGTGGAGGCGTGTTCAGAGAGCCAAGCTGGGAAGGGCTGCACCCAAGCCGGGGAGTCCAGGGGGCCAGAGACACGCCTCTGCCCCTGTAGCTCTCTTGGTGAGTTCCTGCCGAAATGGCTCTTACCTGCTGGGACCCAGCCCCGAGTGTCAGAGGAGAGACCTGGAGCCAGGGGCTGCCACAGGCCTGCAGAACCCTGTCCCACGCTGCCTCCCGCCGCCCCGCCAGCCCTGCCTCGCCCTGGCTCTCCCCTGCGCTGTCCTCTTTTCTTTTCCTTTGGAGACCTGTGGAGATCACGCTGCCCTGAAGATGGCCCTAGGAATGGGCGCTCACTCCGGCCGCTCTCCTGCGGTTTGCGGCGCCAAGTCGCATTTCTTGCGAGCTGGAAGAGCGTCTTGGCTCTGCGGAGAGGCCTTCTCGTGGACACGTCTGCAGAAGCCGCCACTGTGCTTTAGCGTAGCCGTTTATGAGATTCGTCTTTTGAAGGAAAAAGCCGAAGAAGGAGTCAGCTCAGGGCGTGGGGCAGATGCGGCTGGGACCCTCGACCCACGGCTGTTCCCTACCGGTGTGGCTGACCTGGGCACCCTGGCGTGCGGGGTGGTGGCTGCGGTCCCGTCAGCCCTGGGCCTTGCTCTCTGCACTGCCTGCAGCCGCACGTTGGATGATGCGGCCAGGCGCAGGGCACGGGCGCCGGCCGGATCCGCTGCCGCGTGGGCGATGCTCTTGGCCTCTTCTGTCCGCCGCCTCCCGGCCCCTCGGGGAAGCCTCTCCCGCCGCCGCTCTCAGAGGCCCATGTGTCACCCAGAAGCAGGGAGCCCTGGCCTCGGGGTCGCCCTTGCGCGTGGCTTTCCCGGTGGGGCTGCTCTGGGCTGGCCCTCGGCTCTCGTCCACACGTCTCTGTTGGCGGCCAGCACTGCCCAGGCCTGCACTGCTGCTCTTTTGCAGAGGCCCTCGGAGGGCCCGGCAGGCCTAAGTCTTCCGGGAGCGGGTCCGCGTGGGGCCTGTTCCGGGTTCTCTTCTCAGCCCAGCCCCTGAACTCCTTTCGGACTTGAAGCACGTGAGGGTTTTCTGAAAGTCACCCGGTGCCTTGGTTCTTTGTTCTCTGGCTTTTGTCGCTTCTTGACAGACACTGAGCCCCAGCCGAACATTTTTATTACTTATGAAGAATAGAGTACGTATATTGAGACGTCATAGCTGTAATTTTGTTAAACGTGCATCACGGCAGATTTAAAAATGAGGGATTTATTTTGCCATTCATAAAGTTGTAATACAGTCCGGAGGAACTATTTGTTAAAAGATAGCATCTACATAAGCTCCTTATTTATTTCTTGTAGGAGAAGGTTAGATTCACAATAAATACGTGGGGAAATAAGGAGAGGGGGAATCTGTCTTGGAAATAAGATCCCTGTCATGGTTTTGAAATGCTAAATGCATGAAGACCTGTCAAAGAGATATACAGACATGATTTTTTTTACAGTGTATTTCAAAGTATTTAGTTGCGTTTGTCATTCTCTAATACCAGTAAGCAATGATCAAATAAGACCGTGATTTCAGTTAGGGTGTATCAGTGGGTTCGAATGGTGTTTCTGCGCATATATAATACAGACCGAGGGATTGAGAATTTGTATTCTCTGTGACATTTCTTAAATATTCAGCAGCTTTCCCTTGCATTGCCCTTTGGAGCCAATGTTAGGAAAATAGCTACATATAACGGGGGTAGCTTCGGAGTCTCATTCATGAGGATTTGCAAGGCTGGGTGATTAATTTGTTAATGTGATCCACAATAGCCCCAAATGGGAAAGTTATTGGAGCTCGGGGCTCCTTCCTCCTCCGGGGCTGCGGAGTGTGTCGAGTCCTGAGCAAAACTTATGGAAGCGGCCCCATCTCTCGCCCGTCTCCTTATTTATGTCTCAGTCCCAAGCAGACCGTGCGGCTCTCTCTGTGTTGCCGCGGGTTCTGATAGTCAGAGGGAGAATTCTCTCCCTCTGCCGCTCAAGGTACTGAGAAGACCAGAATTTTGAACATTGGGTTTCAGCTTGCCGTTCGTTTGACTGGGCCTTATCCTGGATCAACGTGTTGGACATTATTGGTGACAGGTCGTGTTTTAAATTAAATAGCAGAAAAAAACCAAGTTGTGGATGATTTTATGAATGCACATTGGAAGGGCAGAGACCCGCCCGGGGGAGCGGGGCTGTTTGTTTGTTTGTTCCTAATGGCTTCATCATAAAAGGCCCAGAAAGATTTCCAGTGCGAACTGTGGGCCGGTGCTTTGTAGTGTGACTGCTGATTTGTTGCTTTCGTTTTGTTGTTCATACAGGAAAGGAATTGAATTTTATTTTGTTCAGACTTGATTTATAAAAAGTTATTGCTGTAATCTTATTTTGATTCTTACACAGAAACTTCGGTGTGTTCCCCTGTGCGCGCCCAGAAGTCTGCCTTGTTCAGGAAGTGCCTTTGGCGGTTGCCTTTTCTCTGGGGGGGCCGGGGCCCAGGCGAGGCCTGGCCGGGCCAGCGCGGGGCTGTCTGAGTAGTTTAGTATGGATCGCTTTTCATTTAGCCCGCGCTGACAGCGCATGCCCTGGATAAGTGGCGTCGGCCTGTACAGGTGAAATCTATTCTCACATTTGCCTCAGGGGTGACTGGACTGTAACAGAATTTTTCAAACCCGTTGGGCCCAACCGCAAAGCAGAGAATGAATGGCTGAAGTGCCAGGCCTGGACAGAAAAATCAATGCCTGCTTATACAGACATGACAGACCGGGCCTGCAGCTCTCCTCGGCCCGTCGGTGCCTCCCGCGCGCGCGCGCACAGGGTCCACACCGGCTCCTGCCCGGGGCCTGAGGGGGGCCCCGAGCCCGACACTCACCGCCTCTCTCCTCCTTCCGCAGGAAATTTACATGCCACTTATGTGATCGAAGTTTCACCGAGAAGTGGGCCCTGAACAACCACATGAAGCTGCACACGGGAGAGAAGCCGTTCAAGTGCACGTGGCCCACGTGCCACTACTCCTTCCTCACGGCCTCGGCCATGAAGGACCACTACAGGACCCACACAGGTGTGCCCGCGACACGGGGCGTGGAGGGGTGGCCAGCTGAGGGTCATTCCAGAGCGGGGCCCCCTGCCCTTGTTTCGGCCTCGCTCACGCTCAGCACGTTCTTAAGGTCGTTTCAGCACGTGTGTCTGTAAACTAAACGCATGTCCTAGTTAGAACTAACCTCATTCTCCATCTCCGCATTGACGCGTCCTTGCCCCAAAGGGCCCTGTAGTGGTGGTCTTGCTGGAAGACGTGGGCCGCATCGGGTCTCTGCAGAGAACGTGCCTCTGCGTCCTTCCTGCTGCCACCCACCCGGTGCCGGTGGCTTCCAGCAGGGCCGAGGCGTGGCCCTGGGTGCCGTGGACACACTTCAGCCACGATGCTGATTTTCCCGATGAGCTTTGGAAAAGTAACACAGGGCATCAATAGATTTAGCTGCTGTGCATGTTTTACATAATTTTGTGTTTTCAGCACACCAAGAAAAACTTATTTCACATCAGGCCACCGGGAGGACTCTCTGGGGCTCCAGGTGATTGTTAGTGAGAGCCGTGCCCAGAATGTGTCCTGGGCAGGAGCTGGACCATCGCCCAGGACCCTCCTCCCTCACCTTCTGAGGCTCCGGGGCTCCAAGCCGAGTGTCCCCACGCCTTGCAGGCAGCTCACCGGGCCTTCCCCGTCTCCCCGGCCATCTCGCTAGGACCTCCTTGGCATTTTTGTGATTTTCTTTCTCTTTACACCTCTCAGAAAGAATTTCGTTTCAAGGGGAAAAAATAATACATTTTAATCAGCATTCCCAGATGTTCCTCTGATTGCCAAGCCGCCTATATTATTGTTAGAAATTATGGGTTAAAAGTTCTTCTGAAGCAGGTTGTGGGGCGCCCAGGCCTCCTTAGCTCCGTGACAAGGGCGTTGACGATTTAAGGTCTCCCGCCTGCCCTGAGAGATCACTTATATCGAACAGCAGATGAAAAGCCAGTGCAGATGTAATTTATCGTCGGCGTTTCCTTCTAAAGAATAATTGTGGAGACTTGGCTGGATCAATAATATGGATTTTTGTTGTTAGGTCTTGTAGTCTGCACCATAATGAGAGATAGGGGACAGTGGCTGTTTTCTAATAGAAAATAAAGGATAGGTTTCCATGTCTTTCTAGATTCGAATGCAAAATGGCACCCTTGCAACTAATTCAGGTTGTTAAGAAAAGTCCCCTCTTCTATCTCTGCTGGCTTATGAATATGCTGTGTGAAACGAACCCCCTTTCAATGGACAAAATATGAGAGTTACTTCCTTCCTAAATATTTTTCCTTGAAAATACTGTTGCCCACTGTCCAACCCCCATCTCCTTAAAAAAAAAAAGGCAAGTGAAAATTGAATTTAGAATGAAAAACAAATCAAGCCACCAAGGTAAAGGTGACATACTCTGCTAACATCCTAAATAAAACCCCGCACATCAGGAACAGCCAAGGTCACAGCTGTGTGTAGAGCCACACAACCTGGTAGACCAGGGCCTCCATATTCATGCCCACCTCGCTCTGCGGCCCAGAGGGAGCTGTAGGCCCTGCCCGCCTGCACCGCCCACGGCTGGGGGGAGCGTGGACCCGCAGGGCCTCTCCCTTCCTGGGTGTTTTTATTTCCCGGGCAAGGGGTAGAGCTCAGAGAACTTCCTGCCCTGAGACGGGAGTCCCACTCTTGAACCCGAAGGCCGCGGCTGCTCCCGCCTCCACCACGCGGCGTGGCCAGCTCATGCAGAGGGCGGCTGTCCGCACGGCCTCGGGCCCCGGAGGGCGTCGAGAGGTTTTTTTCCTCAACATACACTGGTATGTTAAAATTAATGAGCAAATTATCTTTCGGGATTCAAAAAAAAGTGTCATTTAATAGCTAATACAGCTAGTTAGAAAGATTTATACTTTGAATTGATTAAATAATGAAATGAGTGACTATAATTAAACTATATTCTTCAAAGCCCCATCCGCTCAAATGTTCTTTTCAATTTTGAAACAGGGATGCTGAGGAATAAACCCAGCCCCCCAATAAAACGAAGCGGGGAGAAATATTAAGTGCAGCTTTGTTTTATAAATAATAATAGAGCACTTTAACACACCAGTGTGGGTGAGAGCAGCCCGAGCTGGGTGGAATCCCTCCCTCCGCACGCACGCCTTCACGAGACGAGCTCCCTGCCGCCCTCGCCCGGGGCCGGCCCGAGGGGGCCCCTCGCCGCTTCCAGAATACTCTGGTGACATCTCTGCTGTGACTGAGACGTGTTAGAGCAAAGCAGGCTGACTGGGACAGGACACTAACTAGCGAGCCTTGGAGGGAGCCCTCGGACAGGGAGAGTCGGTAGAGCCAGAGCAGACGCGTCCGCTATTCCGGGAAGGCGCCTCTGTTTCAGGCGTGTCCCCGAGACCAGCATTTCATTCTCTCCGGTGCCTCTTCCCGAGCCTTCTGGGACGGCTACTCACCAGCACGCATCACCTAGACAGGCTGCTCCGGGTGGATTGCACGGATAAACTACAGGGCAGAATGTTTGCGGGTGGGAAAGTGCTAGCAAAATAGGCATTTACAGGCTTGTACCCACTGCTGGAGCTGCCAAATCTGTCGGCGGCTGTTGCCGAGCCCCAGCCCAGATCCACTGGAGATGAATAATAGGTGGTTTCCGAATAATTTTGCTAGCAGTCCCCAGACTTCCTTTTCTAAGCTGTGAAAATTCGAGAAACAAACAGCATTGGATTGCTGTTGCTACTGAGTAATGTAGGTTTTATTGTTACTCGGGATCTTCAGTATGTTCAGGGAAGCCATTTAATTCGTATTATTAAGTAGGAAGTTATTAAAGGCCCAGATAGAACCGGTGTCCTTCAGCTGCTAGAAGATCCAATATATTTTATTTAAGCAGAATCATAGAGGGTGTATATGAACTATTCCCAGCAATCTTCACTAAGCTCGGAGAGGCCAGCTGTAAGGGAATTGTAAAAAATCAGGATATGCATAAAAACTGTTCAAGTGCATAAAGCAGCCCCATCTGGAAGACATCTACCAGAAATGAAGTTGTACAAAACCGTTCCATTGATAATAAAGCTAATTTTTATGGGTCTGACAAGTATGTAATTATGTGCAGTGGTGCTTTTCAGATTTTATCACAGTCAATAAACCGCAGTGGTAATTTCATTCCCATTTGACATATTTACATGGAAACATTTGATTGGAGGAATTAGTAACCCTGAAAGCCTTGATAGATATGTTTTAATGATCTGTGACCTCCGCAGTCCCTCATCTGTTTATTGTTGCAACAGGCGAGAAGTCGTTCCTGTGTGACCTGTGCGGCTTTGCGGGCGGGACCCGGCACGCCCTCACCAAGCACCGGCGGCAGCACACAGGTGAGCGCAGGGCCCGTGGGGGGACAGGGCAGGGCGGCTCCTCGCCTGCCAGGCACCGGGCTCCTGAGAACTGCCCTTGAGGGGTGTCGGGTCAGCCCCGTGTGCAGTCTGCTGAGATGTGGGCATCCGTGCCCTCATCCACTCGCCATGGGGGGTGTCTGGCCTGCGAAACACGGGCGCATCAGCCTCTCCTCTCTGGCCAGACGTGGACCGGCCACTCGGCAGCACCGCCCCCGCCCTGCGGCCCACCCCAGCCTCTCCCCACCCCCAATGTTCCCTCACCCATGATCACCTTCCTCGCTCCCGTCAAAGGGGGAGGGTCAGGCCAGTGCTCTCTGCGCTGTACGGAGAGCCAGGGCCAGCGAGCAGAGCACATTTTGTTTGCCACGTTGTCCATTCTCGGTGTTGCAACAACATTCAGTGCGTTCCTGGTTTGGAAACACACAGTTGTAAAGGCTTGCACACTAAAATTGATGACCAACCTGGCATATGGTTGTGGGTTTTATCAGTAATTAATAATTCTAAATTGCATGTGCCTGGGACAGTGCTGATTTATGGTGTTGCGCTTGTAATTATTACTAGGATCGCTGCTACTCTCAAAAGTATCCTCGTTAGGATGATAAATCACGTGGCGGCATCCCCCGTCTCCGTGGGTCGGGGCTTCCTGGCAGCCCACAGAGTGCTTGAGTTTGGAGCTAGCATCAAGATGGCAGAGCGTTGTCCTCGGAGAGTCGCTTTGGCTAAGGCACATTCTGAGGCCTGCATTCATGAGGCAGCTGCAGGTAGCTTAGTGGTCCTTCCAGCGTTCACGAGATGACTGGAAAGTGAGCTCTTCCCTTTTAGTCTCCGGGCATGCAGGATTCAAAATTCTAGTTGGGATTGAGATAACAGAGAGAAATTTTCAGTGTTTGGGTCAGAACGACAGGACAGTCAGGAGGGTGTTTGCCTTGCATGCGGCCAACCCAGGTTCCATCCCCGGCATCCCATAGGGTCCACCAAGCACTGCCAGGAGTAATTCCTGAGTGCAGAGCCAGGAGAAACCCCTAAGCATCACTGGGTGGGAACCCCCCACTTAAAAAAAAGAAGAAGAAATTTTCAGTGTTTCACGTAATATTGGAACTCCAAGCTTAGCTTTTTGAGCAGAAAGCTCCCTCTGAAGTATGAGGCCACGTCCCGGAGCCTGCGTCCACGCCAGGCCCTTCCCACTTCAGCTGCGAGAGGCAGCAGGGCCTGGCCCCGCCCTTCTCCGGCTCTGTCTTGAGTGGCATGGCCTGTGGGGAGGAGTGTGGTCTGATTCCTCTTGGTGCCAGAATTCTGGCCCCTTGGGTGTGGCAGTGGCCCACGTGCTGACCGAGTGGCCAGGGAGGCTCCCGGGGCCGGCGTGACCGCGGTGGGAGCGTGAGGCGGAGATCACGACGTGCACAGGTGATCGATCATGAAGCCCGCGTCGAGCAGGGCACAACTTTATATTTCATGTCAGGTCCAGAGGCTCCTTATTACTTTGCTATTAACTTTATACCATATAGGACAATGTCTCACAGACAGAGGCATCCATCTTTTTGGCATTTATCTGCCTCTGTGGCACAAATCAAACACGATTCTTTAATACCAAAGTCGGTTCTTGAGACTGTTTCCTTCAGCCAAACAGCTGAGTGCAACTCGGCCCAGGCCCGTAGCTTTCATGCCGGATTTATAATATTTAAGTCACCCTCAGCTCTTCTGTTTCAAGGCCAGAATTGCGTGGTGCATTTGAAATCTGTATTTCTCAGACGCGTTCCCCTTTGACACGGTTTACCTTTTTACCACCCAGTGCCCACGCAAATTACAATCAGCTTGGAAAGGGATAGGTATCAAAAGTGTTCCAAATGGCGTAAATAATTCCCACTGCAATATAGACTGTCGAGGGGGCTGACACGGAACATCTTCCATTCCGAGATTTACTTTTATCACCTGTCAGAGACCCTTGATTCAAGGGCACAGGAGCGAATCCTCACGTGGAGTTGAAGAGTCTCGACCAGCTTAATGACCAGCAGCCCGCCCAGAGGGATGGAGGTGTGAGTGTCCGGGAGAAGCTTTCGCCCGGCTGACAGATCGTTGACACGCAGAGGACACCGCTCCGTGCAGACGCCATCGCTGCCCCTTCCTGGCTTTCTGTTGCTCTCACCTCCAAAGAGTCCTTTATGGCTGGTGCGGCCAGGAAGGCCACTTCCTTAAGAGCACCATGATTTAGAGTAACATGTACTGTCTTGGCATGGACGGGAGAAACAGGAGGACAGGAAATTTTCTGTCTGTTCTGCCTTTTCAGTGACATAGCCAAGGAGGCCTCCTCACCAACGGGGCACCCAGCCCAGGGCTAGCTCAGCTCTGCGCGAGGCTTCATTTGTCTCTGAATAAAGGCTTGAGCGTGAGGAGAGATCCAGGCAGTGATCAGTGTTAAGTCTGTCAAAGGTTTTCTTCATTGGTAGCTGTATGCCTTCTATGGTAGCATCTTTTCATTTTCATTACTTACTAAACCTTAACAGTCTGAAATCATTCCTTCAGTTTTGTGATCAGCTGGAAGTTGAGTTCATCATATGGTTCACTTTGAAACAGACAAGAAACTGCTTGCATAATTCTAAAGTTTATTTTTATGAAGAAATTCCCTGAAGAAGTCCATTGTTCTGGATGAAAGAAAAAATGCTGATATATCCAAATGATAGCATTGAATGTGTGTGATTGCACCATGTGTCCTAGGTGGAGTGACATGCCCAGGTCGGGGGCAGCTGCGTCCATCTGTAAAGCCGGGGGTCCCGCTGACCCCCAACCCAGGCACGCTCGTCTCCTCCTCCTTGCTTTAACACAGTACTCCAGTCAAACAGATTTGGCCAGTGGTATAGCTTTCCACTGTAAAATCTGTAATTCAAAAAAATTTTTATGAATTTTCCAGTATTATCCAGTTTACTCTATAGTATTGTCAAGTTCAATATAAAATGGCAGTTTGTAGCATATTACAAAATAATGCTAGCTTACCAGGAACTACAGATTTTTAGAATTGTAGAGAATATAAACAACAGACTTTAACGTTGTGGTTTTAAAATTTCAATTGTATCATGTCAAAATGCCATAAGTATAAATGAAATAGACTGTTATAACATGCTGTAAAGTGCTTATGTGAGCCTTGAGTCAAACAATTAACTCTGAGGCACTAAGACTACCTTGAACTTGAACCACTGATTTAGGCCAGGGGTTTATAATGTGTGGCTTTCCCTCCCTCCATATTTCTGCCAAATCCAGGAGAAATGGGTAGATGTAATTAAGATATCTAACAAGGCTATTAGAATATACAACTTAGCAGCGAGTTAGAAGAAAGCAAACACATCTTCAGCCAGGTTAAGTAGATTGAAGATATTTCAGAATCCATTTATGAATCAGTTTAATAAAAAAAGTGAAATGCTAGGTCACTTAGATTCATTAAAAGTTGAAGTTCTGGGGCTGGAGCGATAGCACAGCGGGTAGGGCGTTTGCCTTGCACGCAGCCAACATGGCCGACCCAGGTTCGATTCCCAGCATCCCATTTGGTCCCCCGAGCACCGCCAGGAGCAATTCCTGAGTGCATGAGCCAGGAGTAACCCCTGAGCATCGCATCGCCGGGTGTGACCCAAAAAGCAAAAAAAAAAAAAGTTCTATCTCCTAACTTATAATTTCGGCACTGCTGCAATAATCACAATAGTATTCTGTTGATGTAAATATACATGTGTAGTTTCTCAGTTGTTTTGAGCACAGTATAGTATTTAGAAAAGCATCCGAACAGTGTGTAACACCTCTACGGCGGGGACTTCCGGACAGTGCCCGGAGATTGAAGGGAGGCCTCCCAGGCAGTGTGGCGGTGCCCATGAGTTGGAGGACTCTGATTTGTGCATTTCACATCGTCTCTTGTTCATTACTCTAGCTAGATTCAGTGACACGTGATTTGTTTCCAAAGAAACTGCTGCGATGAATTAAAAGTTCACTAGGAAAATGCAAAGCCTGAAAGAGCCAAAAGACTGTAGTAAAGAGGAACAATCATCGAGGGCCTAAGCCTCTAACGCGGGACAGTCAGCGTTCCAGCACTGACACCTGCTAAGACAGAGACGGGCATGGCCGGACCAGGAGACGGACGCACAGAGAAGGGGACCGCAGGGACGGCCCTGGCCTGGGCCGGAGCCAGGGGACCAGACCCACAGAGGAAAAAGAAATTTTATATTTCGAATATGTAGTGCTGGAAAAACTGGTTCTTCAAAATTGGTTATCCAGCAGAACTCATCCCATTTATAAAAGTGAACTGAAAGTGTTCATTTTGTAAATAGATGATTGATGCTTTATAAAATTCTTGAAGAAAATTTAAGGAAAAATATATCCTTGTGATCATGGATTATCAGGTTTCTTCTATTCCGCACCAGAAGTCTGATTCATACATGGAAAAAGTCAAAAAAAAAAGAAAAAGAAAAACAAAGGCCCAACCGTTGATCGTCGATTTGCTCGAGCGGGCCCAGTAACGTCTCCATTGGAGACTTTGTTGTTACTGTGTCTGGCATATCGAATACTCTCGGTAGCTTGCCGGGCTCTCCGAGAGGGGCGGAGGAATCGAACTCGGGTCGGCCATGTTGGCCGCGTGTAAGGCGAACGCCCTACCCGCTGTGCTATCGCTCCAGCCCATGGAAAAAGTCATATTTTGAAAAATTATAACTTGATATACTGAAAATTTTATAATTTATCTTCAAAAAGCACTTAGAAAACGAAGATAGTCTATGGAGTGGAAGGTAATTGCTAAATCAAATCTTCGAAAGATTTGTTTCTGAAATCCTCTTTTAAGATCTAAGAACACAGTTACCTGAAAACAGCCAGCTAAAAAGGGACTGACAGAGCTGAACCAGCACTTCGTCAAGATCAGAAATGGAGGGCAGAGAAGCTCATGGAAAGATCCTTCGTATTGCAAATGGTGATGATCTGCAGTGATGGTCGCCCTCAGAGGATTGCAAACTTTGGAGACTGGAAGTTTCCTTTATAAGAAACGAAACTCTTGGAGCTGAGAAGAGGCTCAGAGGGTGAGGCAGGACCTTGTGTCCGAGGGAGCCCAGCCCCCACCCCACATGGTATGACCCCACCCCCCGCCCTCACACACACACCCCTAGCAGTGTGGGAACAACCCCTGCCCGGCTCAGACAGGTGTGTGGGCCCGAGCGGCAGTGCTCGGGAGGGCCCTTCCCCTGCATGCTGCCAGACCAGCTTCAATCCCGGCACGCCGTGTCCTCCCCCACCCCCACTCTCCAGCCTGGCCAGGAGTGACCCTGGCGCAGAGCGGACTCTTCCCTGAGGACACTCGCATCTTCCCGGAAGGAATCTGATAAATGATGCCTTTAAGTTCACGAATTCCGTGATGCCATCAGTTAGCTTCTGTAGCCATGTTTGGTTTGTTTGGGTGCTGTGGGTCTGGGCGAGGAGTGCTCCCCAACTTCGCAGAAGAGTCTCTCGGGGCTCTGTCTGGAAGCCGCAGTGCAGAGTTTCAGAACCGCCCCCTGCCACGCTGCCAGGTTCTTCGCATGAGTCTGTCATCTTTACCGCTTCCCCCGGGGGTTCGGTGGTATTGCCTTCCTGCCCTTGCTGAGTTTTTTTAAGCGGTAAAATACGGCAAAGTTGAGCTGGGCGAGAAGTCCATCCAGCCTTTAAAGACTTCCCTAGATTGTAGGAACAGAGAGAGGAGCCATCAGGTGATGTTTATGTATCCAATTAAACGCTGCTGCAGTTCAGTTACTGGGAAGGGCCAGAAATAGGCTTCGGGAAAGTAGGGCACATTTCTAACTGCTCCACTTCCAGGACAGATGGAGTTTTGTTCCTGCCTGCAGTGATGCCTGGTTAGGCATTTCATCCTCCCGTAACTGAGCAAGTCAGTCCCCTCCCATAGCGGTAACAGAACCCTGGCCCAGCTGTGAAAGCAGCCGCCGCCCTTCTGCAGAGTCTCCGGGCCCAGGCATCTGCCGAGGGGACCCACTGGGTACCAGAGCCGTTCCCAGGGAGGAAGGACCGAGGCTTCGTTAGCTGATTGCCGCCTAATGGGATCTTAGCCGAACCAAACACACACAGTTCTAAGTTTCCTGGTAACCGTATAACTGAAACCCAAGCACAAAAATTTGTGAGTCTACAACTGTACCTCGTGGTGTCTCACTAACAAAAATTAAAAAAAAAACAAAACCAAAAAACACGGGAAATGTACCAGGAAAAACAAGGTCAAATAGACATCTAACCCAAAGTGCCCAAACCATTACCGTGTGCACATTAATTCCATATCAGGTTATCAGTGGTGAGTTGTCGATGTTAGATGCAGATTTGGGGTGGGCGGGCGGGGCTTGTCTCTATGGGGGCGGCTGGTGGTCGCCTCTGTGCTCTCTCTGCTACCCCTGAGGGGCTTCTCCATAAGTAATTTTGATAAAATTGACACTGTGAAATAGATTCATATGTACCAAAGGCCAGCCTAACTTTTCATTAAAATTCATATTAATGTTGAATAGCTATATGTTCAACAGTGGTGCCCCATAGTATAGTGACTGGGAGTAGAAGATCTTTTTTTCTTTCTTTCTTCCTTCCTTTTTTTTTTTTGGCCACACTTGGTGTTCAGAGGCACTGTGTGGGAAGGTGTACCTGACCATCTCACTCTGTGTCACTGTGTGGTGTACCTGACTGTTTCACTCTGTGTGTCTCTGGGTGTATCTGACCGTCCCACTCTGTCTCTGGGGGTGGGGGGTTGTATCTGATTCGCCTGCACAGGGAAGGGTAAACTAAAAGTGCTCTTCAGTATTACCTTAAATATTTCTCGGAAGTCTGTACCTTTCACTCGGCAAAGTCTCATGTTCTTTCCTGGAACAGTCTTCAATTGATGACCATTTTTACGTATTTTATTCTTCTCTTCATGGTCCCTCTGCGAGTTCAATAAATTTTGCTCTGTATTTGATGCTGAGCTTCATTTCATTGTCTTCTATGCTCTTATAGTCACAGATTTTTATAATGGCTCCATGTAACATGGTTTGTAAAACGATTTTAAATGCAGTGCCGAACAAAACCTATAATTGCGATTCCTGTGTGTGTGGGTCATGCTGCATCCATGAAATGCACCTCTCCTCCAGTCCACCGGGAGTCAGACGCCCTCCGACACCCTCGATCAAAATGCTCAGACCTCCTTTCTGCATGCAGTCTTCACGTTCCCGTTTCCTGGCCGTTCCTTTCAACAGGTGTCGTTCTTGCGTCCGCTCATGCTCCGTTCTTCTCCATCTTTTCCAGGGGAAAAGCCTTTCAAATGTGACGAGTGTAACTTCGCCTCCACCACGCAGTCGCACCTGACCCGGCACAAGCGTGTGCACACGGGCGAGAAGCCGTACCGCTGCCCGTGGTGCGACTACAGGTAGGCGCCGGCTCCCGCGTGCTCCAGAGTGTGCGCGTTTCACCGCCTCTTCCCAGTGCTGAGAACCGTGAGGTTGATTTCTGGCTTTTAGCGTGTCGAGTTTTATCATCCCTTTGTTCACCTGAATTTCAGATGATTTTTCTCTCTGCTCGGTATCGGGGCCCGCTGGCGGTGATCAGTCACCCAGCGCTTAGGGGGCAGACGCCCACTCAGCCAGCGGAGACTCTGTGAGAGATGAGAGCATAGGCCCCAGGAACAAAGAGGCTGGCCATGCCCCGAGAAGGGCACGCCCATCACCGTGTCCTCGAGGGCAGGCAGCTTCCGGCAGTTACTTGGGATGCGTGGCGTCGGTGCCAGAACGTGGGCGAGACCCTCGTGTCCCTCCTACCCACCTCTCGGGCCAGTGTCTGAGTCGCAGTTACCAGGCAGCAGCCCCCACGCCGAGGAGCGCATGGGGCTCCGTGTTCAGTGCTCGCGGCCTCCCTCTGGGGATTAAGCTGGAACCCGGGTGCTCAGGGAGACCCTCAGTGTGGGCCCGTTCCCCAGGCCCTGCCCAGGGCCGCGGGAGCTGGGGCGTGGGGCGTTTCCCATGCCACCGTGTGTGAAAGATTCACACAGGACCCCGGAACTTGAAGCTTCATGCAAAGATAGATTTCTGTCTCCCTGGGCATGGAGCTGTGCATTCGGTAAATATATTGCCATAATCTCTAGTATTATCCTCATTATTGCATTAAGTTTTATGTTAAAGGTCATCTAATAGTACAGAGATATTACAGATATATTTCATTCATTAATTATTCATTCATTCAACACTTTATGAGCTCTTTCTTTCCTTACACTGGGGTAGTGTGCTTGGGAATTTGGTGGAATGGTGTTCCACTTGGAGATGGACACGGACCTTCTAAGGTGCACATCATCTGGGTTCCTTAGAAGCTGAACATCCGCCAGTGTTCTTTTGTTATTGTTATTGAAGAGTTCATGCGGCAGCTCTCTTCTCTGGAACATAGAGAACAGCAATTAGGAAATTATGAAAATCTCCCTTGATTATCACTCTTAGCTGTTCGGCTTGTGTCCGCTCTGCCTGTGTGCACTTCCTCTGATGTGAGCTGTTTGGGATGTGTGTCGGGCGCCGCTTTCATTATCAACATCATTTTTCACACCTAGCAAATCATTGCTACTTTTCTATTTTATTGATCTCACATTGTTACAGATTTCAAGCTTGCTTCTAAGTAGAACTGTTATTTTGCACAAGATCATGTCCAGAATTTCGTATGTAAAAGCATCGTTCTTTAGAGAGCGTTTAAGTAAATACCAGTTCTTCGTTTAGAGTTTCAGATCTGGAAAGTTCTCCAGAAGCCCTTCAATGACAGACCCCCGTCAGTGTGGCCGGCCGGCCTTCCTGGGCCAGGCGCTCTGGGGAGTCGTGCGTCGGCTCCTGTCCTATTGGGGTGCGTGGGCTGCAGTGGGCGTCAGTGCTCAATGAAATCAGGGCGTCCTGGGAGCCGCCTTCTCCTCTGCCCGCCAGTGTGGGTGAGGGGCGGCGCCTGTGGGCGCTCTGTTCCCTGCTGCCCACTTCCCCCTCCTGGGTCCTGGGCCCGGTGATGCTCCCGCCTGTCTCCGCTTTTCCAGGAGTTGATGGCACAGCCCGCGTGCCCAGTCCCTGGCGTCTGTTCACCTGCATCTGTAACACACGGGAAGCTTCCCCCCAGGGCTTTGAAGTTGTAAAATATCTGCTTCCTCCAAACCAGTTGGTAGGTGACTGCTCAGGTTTCTTTGGGTTTCTGAATGGCTGGTTTGACAACCTCTCCTGTGCAGCCTAATTCGAGTGCTAAATTGCATAGCCTCCATTCAGTTAAGTTGATAAACAATCATTTTTAGATAGGTCATTTTCAGAGTTTGTTGTTACTGCTTTTATTTTTCCTAAAAGTGCTTCTGTCCAGTGTCTAATTGTGTGTATATGTTCAGGATTCTTTGAAAAAGATCCGTCTCAAAATATGATTCCAAGTTTTGGAGGCTCTGCTACAAAGGCTGTAGAGATTTTTTTGCGAATCAGTACCATGTTTTAGGAAACTGCCTTTATCTGCACAAAGTATTGCCAAGTGTTCTCTGTTTCCGTAGTCTGAGGTGGCATTGCACTTTGCGTAGAGACCGCATTTCTTGTCCCCTGCTGAAGTGATGGCCCTAAAATAACTCCCCTGGTGAAGGCGAGCACTGTCTAGCAGGCGCGGGGGAGGCCCTGAGGTGGGGAGCGCAGCGCTGAGAGTAGGTGGTGTTTGAGATCTTGGTCGCCGCCTCGCTTCGGACCCCCTGATGTCAGCCAGATTGTCACGTGGGAGGCTCAGGCCTTGGAGGAGCGAGATTAACAGCATCGACAGCATTATTTCACTAACAACAGTTTGACTGTTATTCATAACAAACAGTTGGAACTTTGGAACTGTTCTTCTCAAGAGTCAGTTCTATCAGTTCCTAGACCTACTGTTGGGTTTGCCTTCACTGGTGAGCCGGGAGATGAAAACGTGAAAAAAAGAAAAACGAAAAAGAGAAAAGAATATTTCTGACTTTAGGGTCCAGACGTGAAAGATAGAACCTATAGCGATACCTTCTCGTGTGCTTGAGAAAAGGGCTGAAAAGTGACCTGGTAGTTAAGCCCAAGAAGATTGTCTTGGCTGCATGCGCTATAAAAATGCAAATGCTACTCTTTCTCCCTTACTACGAGGACAGAATCTTTCACGGGATAAGTACATCCAACTACTGGGATTTCTATGGAATAAAAATCTCCAAGAGGAACGAATATTTCTTATAAAGATGGAGTCTCATTTCTTTGATTGGTGTATTTCAAAAAGTTTTATCCCTTAAAATACGGAATTATTTTATCTGCATGATTTTTCAACAGATAGAAATCATTTCTTTGTCATTTTAACAGTTATTTAGAAGTAAGTTACTATGACTAGAAACTGAAGTATTGTTAAATTTTGTTGGGAAATATATTTTTCATTTTATAAATTGAAGATTAATGGAAAAATACTAGTAGTTATAATTATTCATGAAAAATGTGAATATAGATTTGTTTACAAAAGAATTTTATAATTGGTCCTTTGAACCTAGGGCTATTTTTCAAGTTTGCATTATTAATTTAGGCAATGGCATCTCATTCTATTTAGATGTAAACATGTACCTCTTTCCTTCGCTCTTACTGTCTAAAATATCCTAGAGTCTAATCCATTACAGATCAGTATATTTCATCATCTCTCCAAAACTTTTTCACCATTAATTACTATTCATTATAATTCCAAAGCCTACACTTAGATTCACTGCACACTGTCCTACCTTGTTATTTATGCAGCAAATTCTTTAGATTTGTTTCTCCATTAAAATGGAAACAATAACATTTTTCTCTATTTTTATTTCCCTTTGTTATGGATTAATTGCCATTCCTGTATTAATGAGAGAAATAGAAATACCTTTAAGATGTTGTCTGAAATATCCGTTCTCGTCATGTAACCTTATTACCCCATGGAATTTGTGTCAGGCTGTCCCCCTTTTCACCGGTGACCCTGGCCTTCACATCCAAAAGGAGCACTGTGAAACTTGCCTGGGATGCAGCCTTTTTTCTGCACAGGACCCATCTTCTCAGTGGCTTACACCATACTTAGGACTATTGGGAAACTACAAATGCATATTAAGCAGTAAGCCATGTCATGCCACGGAAAGGAATCCGGAACACTCCGCGAGCTGATGAGAGTAGTCGGGACGGCCCAGAGAGAGGAGGGCGGGCAGGGCCTTCGCCTGGCTGGGTTCAACCCCTGGAACCCCCAGTGCCCCCCCCCCCCACTGCTGGGAGTGATCCCGGGTACCGAGCCAGGACTGTGCCCTGCGCCCTGCCGAGTGTGGCACAACCACGCAGAATATCTGGGGAAGCCCTACATTGCACACTCTGCGTCATTTCAGTCGATTAAGAAAACTACAACTTCAAAGCCAGCACTGACAGCGTTTATTTCTAGCGTCCCCGTTACTCATCTTGGAATCACTTCACTGTTCCCGAGACAGCTTCTGCCATAGTTTTCCTCAACTGTATATCTGTCTGGCTTTACACACACACACCAAAGCATATTTTTTGCTGTTGTTCTTTTTATTTCATTCCCTATTTTTATCTTTTTTTTTAATTACTTGAAGCCATCGCCTCAGATAGCTGAGAGGTCAAACCCGTATCTCTCTTGCCATGTCAGTGTTTCCTCTGTTCTGCTAAAACTTGCACTCTGATTTTCCCTCATGCGATGGTGTCCTCGCATCTTGGCCAGCATATTTGGTGGATGTGGTCAGTACACTTTAGGAGAGAAGGTCTCCTTTCCTTTTTGCCCGAGGGGAGGCTCAGGCTGTCGCTGTGCCTCCTTGAGCCCCTGTGACTCCCTCCCCGAGCACGGAGTGCTCCTTGTGATGCTGTGTCGCGTTGCGTTTCATTACTCGTGGTGCGAATGTGCCGTTTAATATTTCTGATCGTCAGAATCAGGAAGTCTCCTCACCTGGCAGTGGAGTAGGTAGAGCTGGAATTAATGCACGTGTGTGTCCTAAAAGGTTTTTTTTTTGTTAAAAAAATGTAATCTTGACTTGGTTGGATTTTGTTTTCACTTCATCTGATGCTGGGATCATTTTTAAGGTAGTTTCAAGAGAAGCAACAGAAAGACTCTAGGTAGAATTGTCGTTTCTTTCCATTTCCCATACGTTTTGTGTTGCCTTAGCGCCTGTCAAGTCCTCCGGGTGTCGGCCCTGGTCGGTGCCCGGCGTGGTCTTGCTGCAGGCTTTCTGTCGGTGGCGCCTAATTAGCTGGCAGGCAGCGCTGCGGGGGCCGTTTGGCCTTCGGAGCTCCCGCTGCCCTGGGATTCATTGTTCCCGCTCCCGAGTTCAGCTCAGCCCTGGGTGCGCGAGCCTCGCTCCCCGGGGCCCAGGCTTCTCCTCGGGGCAGATCTCTTCAGGGAGTTTCAATTTTCCTCTGGTTTCCTGTG